CACTGTTCAGACCATATGAAGCTTCTAATTCAAGAACGTAACTTGATTTTGAATAAAAATTTAAAAATATATCAAACCGCTGAAAAGCAAGCGACCCAATTAGATGTTTTCAATTTGTTCACCAAAAATGAAAAGTTTACAGAAAACGCCGGTGCAAAGTAAGTTTGTAAAACCCAATCGGAATTGGATCTGATAGTACACCCAAAACTGGACCAAATATATGATTATTAAACTGCGATATTGATTCGAAAGAAGATTTGATCTTCCATTTGTTGCTTGTGAATTTTTTCACGAAGTCTCAAACAACTAACCCGCATAATTAACAACATCAAAACAATTGATGAAAGATAGATCCAGCAATCTAACATTGATTGAAAATAGACTGGTATTTCAACCTGCGATTTTTCAAGACTTAATTGGATAAGCCAGTTTGTTGCAGAACAAAAATTGATGCACGTAGAAATGAATCGCAAATACTCATTACCTCCAAACTATTGTTTTTCAAAATACCTTCACTTATACATTTCTATAAAAATATCAGCGCTTTTCAAACTTTTTGAGCACTTTTTATAGTTAAAACAGATTTTATAAACTGAGCGATTGGGAAACCGGAAGAGATATTTTTACGATCACAAATCTGCAAAAACGAAACGTGAACTCCGCAGACACGATTATCAGACAGTTTGAAAAAAAAATTTGCTGAACCCAAACACACAAGATTCTATGACTGCTTTTTTCCTTGAAGCTACAAAATCGAGAGTTGTGAAAAAATGTAATTTGACGCGGTTTGAATTTCGAATTTTTGCTATTTAGTCAACTCTGGGCAATTTGAATATTATGACTGTTTTTTTTTCAAAACAATGAATCAGATCATATGAAGCTTCTCATTCGAGAACGTAACTTGATTTTGAATTGATATGTAAGACATAATATCAAATTGGTGAAAAACAAGCTACCCAATTAGTTGTTTTTATTTCGTTCCTCAACAATGAGAATAGCACAGAAAACGCCTGCGCAAGGTAAGTTTGTTAATTTTAGATCGTACATATTTGATGGAGATTCCAGAAAAATCTGAACTTGAGAAACCAAGAGTCAAAACGCAAAAAAATTTACTTCGTGTCCTAAAAAAATATCACTAAAAATTACACCGACCGTAATACGTGTCTTCATTACGTTCAATGACACCTAAAAAATATCCCAACACTTGGTTGCGTGTGAGTTGACGATTTTTACAGAGGCGAAGCGGTGTTTTTCATCACTTGCGATACAACATTAACATAAAAAAACATTAGCCGAAAAAAAAATTATGAATGTTGAAAAAACTAGGTGAACCAAATTTTTCATATAACTCGATAAAAAAAAACAACTAAAAGCCCAGCTGAAACTGGAAGTACGTACTTGATATTGAATGAGTTTGACATACTGATTCGGCACGGAAATTGTGATTGCAAAAATTGGACTTTGAAAAAAAAACTTAATTATTTCTCTTCTTAATAAAAGTGAAAAGTAAAAAATTTTGAGAGAATAAATTTTCCCAACGAGATGTCATTTCACTAACAGAAATTATCGCAAAAACAATTAATAATTATCGCAACCGGTTCTTTCAATTGAACTTTTTATCTCAGATTTGTTTGGGTAAATTTACAAAAATTCAGAAAGTTTCTGAAAAACGAACGAAAGAATTTCCAAAATCAACCATTTTTTTCTGCAAAAGGCAGGTTGTGGCCGCTTAAGGAAAGAAGATGTCCAAAACCGGATTTCTCAATTGAACACAACCTGAGAATTGGTCCGGTAGTTTCGCTGAAAGTCAGAAGTTTCCAAAAAACTTTATCTTATTTGAAGACCATAAATGTTTTCGTAAACTAACTGGGCACAGCCAATTATATAAGTACGCTTTCAGTAACCTGTTCATCCGATTAAAACTATGATATCAGATTTAGAAGAAAAGTTAGCAAAAAAAAAGTCCAAGAAATGGTCAACAAAAAAACTTAGACAAAGACAATCATAGCTTTTTGTGGAAACTTACGGCGAAGCCGGTTATGCAGGAGGGATTCAAGCAACCTGTAAGTTCGATTGATTCCAAAATTTCATATTTGGGAGGTTAGTTCTCGAGAAAAGTGAAAAACTTCAAAAACAACGGTCGAAATATCAAATTTCAGACTTTTCCACGGGCCCTATTTCTTGGTGTCCAAAAAATTTGGTCGCATTGGCAAATGAGGTTCCAACAACACGTTCTTTGAATTGGAACTAAAATCTAAGATATTGCAGGGTAGTTTTCAAAAAAATTTAAAACGGTCAAATCAAAATTTCGACTTTTGCCAGGGCAAAAACTTTTTGTGTAAAATCTTTTTTGTGACAGCTAGGACAGGGTAATTTTCCATTACCCGTTATCTCCATTGAACCAAAAATACCCGATTTGAACGTGAGTTTCCGAAAAATGTTTAAAAGTTTTACAAAACAGTCTAAGAACAAAAAAATAGACTATTATGAGGGCCATAACTTTATGTGTAAAAAATTTGGGCGGAGCTGCTTGTGCAGTGAGCCTTTCAAAACAGTTCAATTCATTGGAATCAAAAACCCATACTCGAGAGGGATACTTTTGGAGAAAAAAAATTATGGGTCAAATATACCCCAACAGACTTTTTCGAAGGCCGTAGACAGAAGGGTCAAGGAAAAAGACTCTACTAGAATATGCAGGCAGACAGTGGAGTAGACGGTTTTTCAATTGACACCTTTAAAAAAACAGAAGCTTTAGAAAAATTGAAGCTTTGCAAAAAGTTAAATTTCCAAAACCAAAAAAATATAAATTTCAACAAACCGATTGGTTAACATACAACCAGCTTGAAAAATGTGGAGAGGAGCGTTTAAATTGCGTTTCTCTTGAATTGAAATTTCCTCTAGACGACCCAAATTTAGGTCATTAAGCCGATGAAAAAAGCCGAAATAATTTGGGCCTGGGAACTTTTCTAAGAAATAAAAAACAAAAGAAATACGAGGTCAAGGTAAGGTCAACAATTTTTAGGAGTAAATCAAACACTGAAAACAAGCTGAAAGAAAAATGTGCGCAAAAAAAATCAATTCCAAGATGTGAATCTTACGCCGACAACAGATAAGCAGACAAATAATTGGCTGACAATTTTATTTGAAACAGAATAAATCCGGTTTGAAAAAAAAACAAATGCTGGTCAGATTAGAACCCAGGACCTTTGCCGTCCCATTCGTTACCTCCAGGATAAGTTGGCCGAAACCCTCAAAATTTTGAATAGATTATGAAACAAGGTACCTAGAGATGGGTCGAGACAAGTCTTGTGAACACAGCTGTTTAGGAGAAAAACAGTCTTGTACCCGATTTCAAAACCCTTGCTTCTCGCAAGCGTAAAACTGAACTTTCTTTTGCCACAACTACATGACATACATAGCCGAGCAGTTAAGATAACTCGGAGCCCTGACACCAGCAACCTTGTTTTTCATTAGAATCCAGTATTACGTCTTTTCACGTTTTTTCTTGCAATCGACTTTTTTTTCTTAGTTCGACCAAATTGATTTTCTGAGCTCTCCTAAATCACTCTAAAGACCCCATTTTGATCATAATTTTGAAAAAAAAAACACGCCAAAAAAAGGCTTTTTAGGCAATTTTTTCTGAATTACGCCACCAGAACAAAAATTCTGAGTTACGCCACCAAAAATGGATATCTCAAAATAATACAAAAGGAGGACCCTTTGGGTCGGCAGGGGGTCCAATTCCTGAGGGGGGGGGGGGGGGGGGGGGACGTCCGCAACCTCCTCGCCTAAATCCGCTGGTGATCAACACGATTGTTTCTCAGAGATAGGCAAATTATAGAAGTACGACAACTAATACACATCAAGTTTAAAAACGCTTTCACGGGAACTTAATTCATCAAAATTGATAAAAGACTGGAAATGACAAGAAAAGACTTTCAACCATAAATAGAAAAGGGAGTTTTCAAATGCTGTTATTGAACTACATCTAAAACGAAACAACACGATTTACAGATGAAATTATAACACATTCTTTAATGATACATTTATTCGCATTTCGAAGTGCTTGGCATTAAAATGCCTCAAATGCTCAATAATAAAGATTATTAAATTTTCAATTTGATAGATTATTTACAATTTAGGACAGGGAAAGAGCAAGATTATTGCACATCAATTTAAAATTCACAAAAGCGTATTTGTGCGATATAAAGATATGGCATGTTTATTCTGCACCTTAAGAAACGCAAATTGTAGCATTGAAAACTTTCAACGCAATGCAAAAACAAGGCATGAAAAAAGCATTCCACTTTTCGAGTTAACAGTTTCTATTCAAACTAAAGCTGAATTTTTTCCAGTTAATTCCGACTGGATGTCAAACTCTTGTAGCCGTTCATTACTCTATAGGTCAAAGAACATTGGAGAGTGGTTTTCATTTCTCGGGCTTAACATTCCACGTGCAGCAAAGCTCCTAGGACTAACTACAACTTTTTCTACTTTCTGCCGTTAATGTTGTTTTGACTGTTTTTACTTCTTTTTCCAGAGCTGGTTCTGGATGGTGAAAGCATCCACAGATACAGACATGGTCTTGGAGGGGATTTGCAGGAACCGCTTGCCCCCACTGTCGTATCTTGAAAGAAATATCCAGTAAACCGTTGATAACTTTTCATCTCTTTTCAATTACCACAAATGCTGGTTAATTTTTTCATTTAACGATCAGAAGAAAGCAAATTTAAGCTGACTTGCGACCAAATCAGAAAGCTTGAAAAATCCCGAACAAAAAAATCCCTTAGTAGAACCACTTTTTTTCAAATTTTAACAACAAAAAATCACACAAAAACATTTCCTTATAACTTAAAACTACTTTTCCCCAATTTTAGTTTCAAAATTAGAAAACTCTCCTTAAGTACTATTTCTATTTTCAAGACTAACTTGTACAGATCCTGTATCATATGTAGTTTCACATTCTGCGGTCCCATGCCTGTCACTTTTGTAATCACCCCCTCCTCACAGTCTCCCTCGCACAGGTAGATGGCTCTAAATTTGAGGGCGTGATCTCGAAACAGAATCAGAAAGTGCTTCCCGCCACTTGCGTCTACCACTATGTTCGGATCACCAGATGATATTGAAGTGCACGAGTCGATTTGCTGAAACATAATAGAAGTTTTAACATCTGCGCAAACTTAAGAAAACTGTTTTTTAGACTTGTTTCCATCTGATCCGTACACACTCACATGTATTAAAGTTTATCTAAATTTACGAAGCTCATTACGAGTTAGATAGGGAATAGAGCGGTTAACCGGTAATGAAACTTAAACCCCGGTTAAACTATTGTAACCGATGAAAATGTTACTGAAACGTTACTGCAAGTAAACAGTCGGTTCTCTTAATGAACACTCAATGAAATTAACGATTGAAAGACATCTCCATCTGCTTCCTCTTTCTTATCAAAAAATTTGTTAAAAAACATCAAAATTAACAAGCATCCAAATATCGAAATATCATCTAAAAGTTCGAAAGACTTAAAAAACTATCAGTAGTCGAAACAATCATATTTTATAAATTTCTTTGTGGTCGGAACTTTCTGTGCTGGCAACTGGTTATTTTATTCCTAGGAATTCAACCAAACTGCTCAATCTATTGGTTCCTTCTACCATTCTCTTTTCTTCTAAAGTATGCCGTCCATCTAAACTCTTACCAACTGTAAGTAAATATCTCTTACCTGCAGTATTTTGTTCTTCATGTCGCTGTTGACTGCCCCGGGGAACACAGACTGAGTGATTGCATTCTGGATCTTCAGTTTGTTGCTCTTCGAAGTAGGCTTCACAAACAACTTTGGACCTTAACAATCAATAACTTGACATATGAAAAACTTCTTTTCAGAAAATCTCTAATTAAACAAAAATTGCTGCTACTGAGCAGCCTCTTATTAGTCAGTTTCCAATGACTTTAATGATTTTTGATCAAACGGTTTTTTCGACACTCTTTAACGGTTCAAATGAATAAACATTGAGTTCAGACTTGCAAATGGGCTGATTTAGTTAATTTAAATTCGATTGGATTACATGACTTAAAAGGATATTAGCAACAATTTTGCATTGATTATTGTTCGAGTTGGATGTCTTACCGTTGTACTCGCTGAACTCGGATCTTACTTCCCAAGTGTCCATGGCAGACGAAACAAGAGACTCACCACCGTCACTCAACACTGAAATTAGACTTAATTAACTTTTTAAAAATAAGACTAAAAAACAGAATAAGACTAAATTGAGTTTTCAGACTCTATTAATTGTGGACACTGTTAGGATGAGTAATACAAAACACCTCAGCAGACAGTTGAAAAACTTATTAACTCAAAAACTTCAACTTCTTTTATATTTAGTGGAACAAAATACTTTTTCGGTGTCAATTCAAAAAATTTCAAAAGACATCAGCAGAATCAGCATAAATGAACACTGTAACACTATTTTACTTCGCTCATTGCCACGTATCAAAAAGAAAAGAAAGACTGGGAGTTTTATGATAAGGTTTGAGTTGTGACTTTAACTCACAGTTCTCGACAGAGTTCTTCCTACTTCTTGTCAATTTGAAGCCACTGTCTCCATTTCTACTGCTAGTACTTCCGCGTCTGCTCCTTGGCAACTGCTGTTGTTGTTGTTGTTGACTCTTGTTCGTTGGTTTGGCTGTAGTAGATTTGGATCTGGGTTTAGAAGCAGGGCCGCTTTTTGCCTGCTAACATTTTTTTCAAGCGCCTCAATGAAAGAAACATAGCCAACATACAGGCGAAAAAAAGCCAATGAACTCAAGGAAACCGAAAAAAATATATAACTCAAATGTCAAAAAAAAACAGCATTCTATGAATTTCATGAATCTTTTATAATTGAATCTTTTTGATAAAATTTATTTTGAAAATACAAAGCCTAACCGGTTATTTGTGGAGCAACAGTAAAGATGAATTTCGCTCACTATGGGACTTTATTTTATAAAAGCAGCCGGATATTAATTATTAATGTTTGATCACAATATGGCTTACTTGCCAGAGCAACAAACATTGCGCAAGCAACAACACCAGATTAAACTGGTTTTCTCCTACACTAACTTGCTGTGCTCTCCCTGTAGCCCCTCCCCCTCCGCCCACAAGTCCTCTGGCTTGCGGTGTTTTCGGTGGGGCTCTCCCACTTTCCTCCAACTCCTTCTCTGCTTTTTTCTGCAGATACTGAGCCATGATTCTCTCGCGTCTCGCCTGGGCCTCCAGTTTCTTCTGCTCCTGAAACAGCTTAAGATTGCAGATGTGTTTTCTTATCAATCAGAAATTCCGGTGAATTTGCAAGACGCACAAACAGGCCCGTCCGAAGTCATCATAGCGGATAACAATAAAACTTCAACGATTCACTTTCCATTCTAGAAATAAACTATTGTTTTGTTTATTCGAGGACAAGGTGATAGCTATTAATATAAATAACAATAATTTCGTTTCTGCAAATCACAAATCCTTATTTAATAGCTTGAAAGAAGCAATAAAATATGATTTGGTTTCAGAACTATTTGACCCAGGAAAACGGCCAAATGACAACTTTCCCTGTACTAAATTGCCCCACATGACATCTGTATCGTTTTCCCTCAAAATTAACACGGTAGTGGAATCTTTCATGTACTATTTAGTCCTATCGAGTACTATTTAGGATCAGTAAAGGCTAATGATAAGCTCGAATTTTTTTACTTACGAAAATACTAATTGAAAATGATTCAAATTGTTGAGACTATAATATAAATTGAAACATCTTTTTGAGAATTAAGCGCAATATGATGACAAAAATTCACAACTAGCGCCAATGAAACAACGAATCATAGCATTTGTTATCTTAGATGATTAGATGAATGCTAACGCAAATTTTATTTCAACTTTAATTACAATGAGACAAATAACGTTGACGTACACGATTCTACAAAACAGCGAGCGAGAAAAACTACCAGGCACTGGTGATGCTCAAGATACCGTCCACACAAACATCGAATGCTTGCCGTCACAGCTGGAGAGGAACAAGAGCCACCAAAAGTGAGCACAGCATGATGTTTCGACCAGAAAATTTGAGACAGAATATCAGACCAACACAGAAGTCAAGCAGCAAATCACACATATCAATAGCAATTTCCTTATGTTTGCCGAAAACGAAAAAAAAAACGAGAAATCTGTCCAGCCATCCTTGCCTAGTCGGAAGCACTGAGAAACAAAACTTGTCTACTTCCGCACCATTTAATGAAGAAAAGAATTTCAATTCCATATGTATATACTGAACATTCTTCTATCTACAGGGGGTTATGAACACGGAGCGAAATTTAGTATTTGCTGACAGGGATATCGTGCAATCCCTTCAGGTTGACAATTCTCTATAGATAGGCGATAAAATGTTTCCAATAGGCCGGATGCAGTTTCTATGGAAGCTTTTAACAATATACATTCAAACTGACTACTTTTAGATACCTTGTAATAATGCTATACCGCCTAATCAAATTGAAGAGACATTCTAAAAATCCTCAAGTACTTCTGTACTGTCTCGAAAAATCCGCAGCCATTAGGGATTCTTCTTGATTTTGAGCCAACCGCCTCTAACCACTTCAAAAGTGTAAAATCAAACTCTCCCATCAAACGCAAACAGAATGCAAACAAGAAAATTTCAACGATTATTATAGTGACTCTTTATGATGTATATGAAAAAAGTAGTGTAACGCCACTGTCGCTTTTCTCCTAACGCAAAACCAAATCCAATGTTCTTCCCCATATTCGCCCGTTTAACAACAATAAGCTTGAGCTAGTAAGCCGATAAAATTATCAGTCTGTTATTTTATTCTATACGGCTACTTGTTTATCAATTCAGATACCAGACCTTTAGAAAAAACGTTTAACTGTTTAAAATAAGAAAATTAGTCCATTTTATTTATCAAGTTAGTAAGAAAGACTCTGTTTAGTATAAATAAAGGACTTAACTCACAAAGGTTGCGCAACAGCCCTACTCTACAAGGGTTTTGACACCGCTATTAGTGGAACATTGAAGAAAGTTAGCAGCTGAAGTTTCTTTTACTGTTCAAAGACCAAACCAGGTAACATTTCAATAACTCATAATTCGATTAAACATGTTTTGTAAGGTAAAAAAATTTTCTTTTCCTAATGCTTTTTCTAATGCAAGTATTTATTGGCAATCTAAAACGCTTCCAAGAAACCCAGGCGCTTAAAAACCCCTGAATGAAACCATCTGAACTTCAACAGTTTGGCGTTAAGCTGAAAAGCACAATAGCGACTCTTTATATAGGCGTTGACACTAGAATTCTTAAAAGTCTTTTTAGAAGTCTCAAAAACCCAAACACAAAGAAGAAAAACACAGATACCCCAAAAAGAGAACGAGGGTTGAACACATTTAGAAGTTATGCAAAAAAATTATGCACACCTGGGCTTGTGCTTCCATGGTCTGTCTGCGGACACTCTCTGCATTGGCATCTTCAGTCGCCTTCCTCCTCTTTTCCAGATCCCTCTGCTGCTTCTCACGTTGACGCCTCAGAAACTCCTCCGCCTACGTACAATTAAAATTACACTATCAGTAAACAAAAACTTCAATCATTCTTCAGAAACTACAAATTTGACAACAAGTAACTGTTTCAGTTGTAAGCTAGTTTTATCCGCAACTAGTTCTGTGACTCCGAAGTTTGATAAAACAATGAAGTGTTTCTCTTTCAATTCAGCGATAGGATTAGAAGAATCGGATGAATCCTTTTTTAAACTAAATTAGAATAAATTTCAACGGTTTAAACGAATTTCTGATTAACGTCTTCCTTCATTCTCTTCATTCTTATTCGAAGCTTTGGTACCAGATATCTACCAAGAAAACTACACAGAAAATTTTCGCCCACACAGCTTCCGTGTTGCGCTACATTTCGTAATAAGGCATTAGCAAGTAGCGACAGCTTGCTCTGCTGCGCTTACAGTTGCACGTAAGCTTAATGGTAATATTAATATATTTTTTACCTTTTCTCGTCTCTTTCTCTCCTCTTCGTCCTCTGATTGGCTGATCTGTTTGCTCTGTCTTTGATTGTCTCCCATTACATCTGCAGATGGTGAGTCTATTTTATCCACATCTATCACTAGAGCCACGCCACCCATTCTTTTTTTGGATATAGGGGAGTGGTAGTCACATTCTGAAACAGTCCACCGAATCACCTTTTGCTATACAAATATCTGCCATCATGGTTCATGATTGTACGAAAAAAAAAATATTTTTTTTGTCGCAATTTAGACAATTTTTTTTTACAGAAATGACCATTTTCTCTTCTATGGCATTGGTAACAAAACTCTTTCAAAATGACTTAAAAAAGCAATTACAGCCGAATATTGAATATAGTCACCACACATCCTCCCTCTGTACTCCTATTTTACAAAAGACAAAAATATATCCTAACTTTCATTTACCGATATTATTTTTGTCATGCTATCACTATCATACAAATTCGCGTACCTTGTACAATTTTCAGAGCCTCGTCCACAGTTGTGCTCGAATTTGCACTTGAACTACTTGATTCTATATTCGGATTTGAAGCCACACTCTTTACTTTTCGACTGTTACTTGACATCGGTTCACTGCTTTTCGCAGCCGATAACTTAACACCGCCATTATTTCTCGTATTTGGCGTCGATGAAGAGCTTGTAGGCGTTCTCTTGTTTGTGGTTAGACGAGGTTTCGGCGGCGCGAACTCCTTGCTGTTGGTGTTCGCAGATGCGAAAAAATTGACAGAGAAAGCTTCGGCTTTCTTGGGAACTGAAACAAAATTGAATTAACATCGATTTGCTTGTCGTAGAGTAGACGATTTTATGAGTTCGTAAGCTTTGTAACAAAAAACATTAAATTACTACTGAAAAAAAATTAAAAATTATATCGAGACCGGTCATCTTTTTTATTCTTGGGTCTTTTCACTCACCCTCCCCCAAATTTGAATTTCAGTGTTTAAACATAGCCAATAGACATGCAAAGGCTACAGACATCAACCCAGCTGCACTTCGCAAACAAGTGAAAACATGAAGTTTTCTCGGTGACAGCCCTGCACAACTGTGCCATTGACGCTTACAGACACCAAACACTGAATAATAAATAGGAGAATACATGCTATTGAACTGTCAAAACTATGCAAAAAGTGGCACTTAAATGAACACTTTAATTTGCGAGTTAGGTTGGCAACAGTGCAACAGAATTCCAGTGCAACAGATCAAGATTATAGATGAGCAATTTATGCACCAAATAAGCACTTTCATTTGCGTTTTAGATTTTAAAAAAGTACATTACGCTGGCTTTTCAAACTAAAATTCGTTCACGTTTTTCTGCGCAATCTCTGCTTTCATTATCGAAGAGCGTAATCTGCCTTCCTTTTAGCTAATGAATTTGAACTGAACTTGAAAAAACCACTTCAATGTTCATTGGCACTTAAAAATTATTCTGTCCTTGCAATGAAATTTTGCATGCTGAACAAACGGAGTACTGTGAACGTATTATTGTTTTCACAATATTTATCATCGTATCTTCACGAATTTAGCCACATTATCCTTGCTTGTCATTGAAAAGTACAGCACAACCATAAGCCTGAATAAATCTTTCTGAATTTAATTCTATTCAAGTAACTTACAATTTGAGGTATCGATTAGCGGAGGATCCTTTCCACTTTTCTGCTGAGAGGGACTTGTAGCACCACTTTTGTCAATTGCGTCTCTTTTTGAATCCACTTCATCCGAGGTCATTACGTCATTCTTATTTGACCTTTTGGACTTAACGTGAACTGGACTATTTTCGGGCGTGACCTCTACACTTGAACTTATTTGAACTTCTGGATCCAGGGGCGAGATTGCACACGATGACTCAAATGTATCTTTCTTTTCAACATTCTTTCCCCGGGTTCGCATTTTGGACGTTTCCTCGGTTTTAGAATCCTTCTCATTCTGAGATTCCATTGATAGTGTTTGCGGTCTTTTTGGGGGATTACTACTTGATGATACTTTTCTTCCCTCGCTACGAGGTGAACTTTGGATGAAATTATCATTACTACAATTCAAATTTTCATTTTTGATAGTTGGTTTAGGACTGACAACAATCGGCCTTAGACTTTCATCTGGATTCAAGTTATTTCCCTTCGAAGTCTGACTATGTACACTAAATTTACGTTCACTACTTGGAATGTTACTTTGCGAATCGACCATTTGTAAGTTTTGATGACTCTGATTATCCGAACTACTAGTCGGTAAATTTTGGTTTTGATTGTAGGGCAAACTTTGCTGGTAATAATTATGATGAGATCCGTGCAGTGTTTCATAATGATACTCTTGCTTATGTGTTGTCTCATAGTTGTGATACAATTCTTGTTCATGCACTGCGTAAGGCGGTTGCAAAGCTTGGCCTTGAAAACTTCTCATCTGACCTTGATTTGGGATGTTATTACTCATTTGACCCTGATGATGAAGGTTATTTAATTGCACGGATTGGCCCATTGGAATACTGCTACCATAAGGATTAAAAACTCCTTGCTGTTGTTGGTTTTGGTGTACCGGATACTGCTGTATATGACTGAAAGGCTGATGACGGTTTATAAGGGAAGCATTCGGTTGCTGGCCAATTTGGTTATGATTTATAACCTGTGGTAACCTGTTAGTGTTACTATTAATCAAATCTGGATGACTACTGTTGTTATGCCATAAATTCATTTGGTGTGGTTGGAATGTGTTTGGGTTTCCGAAACTGTTCAATTGTTCTCGGCTACTGTTTCTGCTTATACTTTGCCCATACTGTTGGCGCTGTAGTTCCATTTGCATCTCTCGTTCTGAATGTAGTTTTCGTGTTTCCATTTCGGTTATGAATTTGTGTCTAAAAATCCTCATGGTTAAATTCCATAACACATACGTAAAATAATTATTTCGTAAAATAACTTACCAATGAACAAAAAATGACTAAAAGTCCGCAAAATAACTTTCATTCGATCAAAATGGTGAACAAAAATTTCGGCGAATAACTGATTGAGCAGAAAAATTAAAATTTCCATCGAGTAATTAGATGGCCTTAGAGAAAGAAATATATATACTCACTTTAGAGTTTGCAGCTCCCTCGCTAGTATCTGATTCTGTTCAATCAACATATCTCTCTCGAGCGAACTCGTCAAGTCCACTGAGCTCCCAGCCCCTCCCCTTTTTTCATCCCCTCTCCGCGCCCCTCTTATTTCCCCATCTTCCATCTGGTTATTATGATAGCCTTGCATCTGATTTTCAACAAACATATGTTCTCCCCTCGCAGTCGAAGGCCGACTTAACGCTTTTGTTCTTCTTAACGTACTTTGATTTGAACCAATTCCACTCGACAAACTATCTAACTCGTCTCGCTCCATGTAATAACTCATTGGCCGATTACCATTACTTCTACTGTTCAAATTGCGAGTACTAAATTGCGATATCGGAGATGAATCGTAATACGAATTGTGATTTTGATTGTGTGTTTGAAGATCGATTGAAGTTTGAACTTCAGCTGAAATCTTACGAGTCAGGGGTGGATCTTGGTTAGTATACTGAAAGTCGGAGTTGTCGAGATTTGTACTGCGTGCTCGTTGTCTGCGATTCGCGAAGTTCTGACGTTCGTTCGGAGTTCGCTGTCTGCGAACGACCTAAAACATAGTCACAGAAGCGTTTAATTAGATCCAACCGGAAGTAGGCAGTGTCAATGAAATTAAGACGAGCGGTGGTGAAGTGGTTGTTCGAGTACCACCACCTAGATCAGTGCACTTTCGAAAGCAGAGCTGACCTCCATACACCGAAACGCAGGGGCGGATTTAGGGGGGGGGCGGACGCCCCCCCCCCTCAGGGATTCGACCCCCTGCCGACCCAAAGGGTACCCCCTTTGATACTTTTTCAGAAATCCATTTTTGGCGGACCGACCCTAAAATTTTTCTAAAGGCGCCTTCGGCGCCAATATATACTAACTTTGAGGGGGAGCGCGCGCCAAAAAAACGCAATTTTTTGCCAAAATTTTTCAAAAAGTGCCCAAAAACGGCTTTTTTGACTGTTTTTTCAAAAATTTGCCTGCGGCGCAGAAAATTTTGCCAAAATAAGGGCAAAAACAGTGCTTTGGGAGAGCTCGAAAAATCAATTTGGTCGACCTAAAAAAAAAAAAAAAAGGTCGTCAAAATTTTGGAAAATTTTTCGAAAATCCGCCCCCCCCTCGAGAAAATCCTAGATCCGCCCCTGCCGAAACGGCTAATCATACAGTTCAATAATTTGGTAGAGCAAAACAATTCAAGTTAGAAATTGAAAAGACCTAAAATGTTTTTTTTTTTTCATTTTTCTATCGCAAAATCAATTCTGTACTCATTTCTAAACTCAACAAATAATTTCCAAAAAAATTTGCATGCAAAATTTTTATTTTTTGTCTCTTATGTAGTAGAGTTGCTCAAATTTTGAGAATTTGCATCATACAGTCAGCATAATCTTAATTTGTTTGTTTCTATCGGTACCAGACGCTTCGTCTATTTCAAAAATACGCATAATTAACGTACGGCAAAAAAACGCATCAGTTTTTGAGCGCCCATTGTAAGAAGTAATTTTATGATATTATTTCATGATCTATTTTTACTACATGGCAATCTCTTCATGCAATTTTCCTGAGATTTTAAAATGACGTTGTAATCTAAGCAGGGTGACCACTTTTTTTAGAGAAAAATAGTTACTATGAAAATTTTCGAATTTTTTGCCGACCTTTTTTTTTAGGTCGACCAAATTAATTTTTCAAGCTCTGCCAAAGCGCTAAAAAGTCCGTTTTGGCCAAAATTTCTGCGCCGCAAGCATAATTTTGAATAAACAGGCTGAAAAAATGCGTTTTTTTTTCGGCGCGCGCTCCCCCCTCAATATTAGTATATATTGGCGCCAAAGGCGCCTTTAGAAAAATTTTAGGGTCCGTCACCAAAAACGGATATCTCAAAATAGTGCAAAGAGGGGACCCTTTAAAAATATTAAAAAACAGAAAGCTTTGTTGTAAATAGTGACCATTAAAAACTAGTGACCAATAGTGACTGGTCACTAAAATAGTGACCAAGTGGTCACCCTGAATCTAAGGGTATTTATTGCAGAGCATTAGTGCTTGGAAACAAACACAAATTAATTTTAAAAGAATAAAAATTGACAATTTTGTATTTTATCGGAAAAAGCTAAGCATACAATTCCTACAATAAATAAAGACAACATAAGATTGGAAAAAAGTATAAGAAAAAAACTTGAAAAAATTTGTAGAATTTTATGAACATTTTTCAACTTTAGAACTTCGAAGAAAAAATATTTCAAGCTGAAGCTCTCTGAAATTAAAAAACAGTTTATGATTGATACATTTTTGATGAAAGTAACCCAATTTAAGAAAACTGGATCAAAGGGTAAATTTTAGCAGATATATTCTAATTGAAATCAAAAATTGCATATATACCTAAGTTCACTCAAAAAATCATTAATATGTATAAATGCACTTCTGGTACTTATTAGTGCATTTTAAAATTTTTTCTTTAGAAAAAAAAACAAAACAAAAATCATCAAAATCTATGTCAGTGAAAATCACTTCGTTTTCTTTATACTTAGAAAAAAGCTGGTCATACAGTTGTCATATATCATTAAAGAGGCGAAGTTTTGCTTTGCAAACACTTGCGAGAACACGACAAAAAGCAGCTATAAAGAGTGCAATAATAAAGATTAGAAATAAGTCTCGAAAGAGTAAAAATTCGGCTACCTCTGAGATTCGAACCTGCGACCAAGAAATTAAGAGTCCTACACACTAACCACTCAGCCACGGAGTGTTAATAGCCACAACAAATAAAGCAGACAACAGAAACTATGCAAAATCCAATGCTACAGTGAAAATTGTGAAGTAGCCGAATTTGAATACTATAAGTGATCACTTTTATATGCTAGTTAGGTTAGGAAAAAAAAGAATGTTCGTAATAAAACACATTGCTGATCGCAAGTGTAAAAATGCTAATCATAGCTTTCTGATATGAAAAAAAGCTGGTCACATAATTTTTGATACATTTTTTAAATGTATGGGAAATTGTATGAGAATCGTATGACTACCATTTTTGTCCGCCCGGGAACTTAAAGTATTTCAAATTTTTAGACCGATTTTACCTTTCGTATTTGAAGAGCGTAATTTGCAAACGAATTTGAATTGAAATTTTAAAAAGATCTTAAGTCAAAGCGCAATTTTTGAGCGACAAACATTTAAAAACGAAAAAAGAAACTTCATTCTTGATTGGAAAGCTCTATTATACACAGTGGCGATACACCACTTGCGATACAACAAACATTAAAACAAGAAACCGAAAAAAAATATGAAAAAATTTTGTCTTTTTAAAAGTTCATTTTAGGCAAACACGACAAGCAAAACATTGGAATATTATATTAACAACGGAACAAATTTTACGAAGAGGAAACAAAGCCGACAATCTTTGAGCAGACATCAGTTGAGCCGAAAAAATGATTTAGTATCAGAAAAATTTAAGTCCCCTGAAACTACAATGAACAACACTTGCAACTACAAATTGCTAACAGCAAAAGAAAAATCCGTGATGTGGCAACTATGCTGACAAAACTTAAGCAGACAAACAAAAAACCAATAATTTAAATTTTACGGAAAAAAATTCAAAAATTCGATTACAAACATACTGGAAAAAAACAAAACCGGCCGGGACTAAAACCCCAGGAAAAAATCTAGTTCCCGATTACAAGACACTTGCTCTCGCATGTGTAATTTGGAAAGAACTACTTCAGGTATGCAAGTATTTCACTTGTCGTGATACAAAAGATACGCGTTTTCTAATTACACCCATTACCAAACCTTCTGCCATAAAAAATGAATTAGGTGTTTTTTAAGTGGGCGAAAAACAATCATGCGACTTCTTTCTTACCTCTGATCCATATGATTCGTACCCCCCTTCTGTCGTCCCTGCCCTTCTACAATCCACTAATGATCCATCACTCTCTTCCATCGGACTCCCACTCTTATCTTCCTCCTCGTCTTCTTCACTTTCATTCACATTCTGATCACGCTTATCACCACTGCCACTTCTGTTGTCGTTCGCCTAAAATTACAATTTATTTATATTTATAAGGCACAAAATCTTAAAACCTAACCTATGAACTACAATGGAAGCTAGCCAACAGACCTTGGATACAAACTACGAAATAAAGGAACTGCAAAAATAAACAAACTTCTCAATTCTAGATCAAATTTTATCAAGCTGAAACTGATTCAGAAATAGTTATTAATTATTAGTTGATAAAAACTGATAGAAGTGTACGCCATAGAACTTCACGGCAAGGTTAGCTACTGACCATTTTTTCAAGCGAATTGAATTTCTGCAATTTAAATAAAAACTGCAAAACTATTCAAAAAATGAAGTTTATAAAAAATGAAAACATGTCAAGAACAGATTATTCTGATTTGTGCCGGATTTTATGATTTCATTGACTACTACTATACACATTTCTCCACGAGTGTTTCAAAAATGGCTTTTCTTGTTTTTTTTTGGCACGTTGGTCTGATATATACAGCTTGAAAAATTTAGTAACAGCCACCGGCCGTAGCGTTAATCCAGGGGGGGGGGGGGGTAAGTTGGAGCAAACAATTGCTTCAGTTCGTTTTATTAATTGATTACATGGTGAAATTTTATAGGGAGCGAACGAGAAATTTTATAAAATTTCACATGTTGAAATTTCATAAGGAGCGAAATAATTTAAATCAGGAGCGAATGAGTAGTAAAAAGATAAGCAGTCGTAGATTAAGTCATAGATTCTCACCTTGATCACGCGCATGAATGCGGTCTTGCCTATCTCCTGGCGATGTTTGGACCTAGCAGCCTCCAGTTTGGCCCTCTCTTTCTGGATGCACCTTCTCCGCTCCTCCATCTTCAGTTTGATTGCACTCATTTTAGCACTGCTGCTCACGCCGTACTCATTAGCCTAAGACATCAAGCAAACGTAGTTGAAAATTAAAAATTAGTGCGAAGAAAAATAGATACAAAATTAGTTGAAAATTCGTTAAAAAAATTCAAAGTTTGTTGAACACTCTTTGAAAACGGTTCAGTAACAACGATTGAACTTCCAATACTAGACAAAATAACTCGACTAGATTTTATTCAACTGGCAACTTAAGAAATATTATCTCCCTAAACAAAAGTCGGCATTCAATTCGTTCATCAAATAACACTAGTTAATAGAAAACTACATCAGATTTTAATAAATCTGGATTCGAATTTTATTCAGTGTAATATAGTAGAAAATTTCAGTGTTTATGGTAGAAAAATTACTCTCATGATTTTAGGCAATATACCCAAATCATATTTGGTAATTTCTAGACACTCACTCTGTCTTGCTATTCAGGTAAAAAATAGCTAACTCACCTGTGAGCGTACAGATGACGTCATCATTGACACTTCGGGCTCCGAATTGACATCATCCGAATCATCGCCATGTCCACCTCTGATCGCCGTAAACATCCGTTCATCTAATGCACTTTTCGGCCTTGTTACCCGAACACCGCCATCTCCTTTGTTACTACTCATATTATTACTTCTTAACTTCGACTGGTTTCCAAATGATGTAACATTTCCAGCATTGGCATTATTCCCGCTCAAAGCTCGTGATCTTTGCATATTTTTTGGTATTATTTCAGTCGTTGTTCCAGAATGTTGTTCGTTTTTCATAGCCGAGAGAGGTTTCGCGTCTCGTTCGTACATTTCAGTTAACTCGTGTACTGACGTTCGGGGATTCGATGGTCTCGTATTCCGCTTCGAGTATGTCTTGCCTCCCGATTCAATTTGACTTGAAGACTCCTCCAATTTTCTGGTCTTAGAAGAGTCTTCAGTTTTCGGTCCTCGAAGTTGCAGAATTGTTGACAGATTTGATCTACGATAATTTGAATTAAAGTTATGACAACATAATTTGAGCATCATTTTTAGTGCTCCGTAATCGAACTGAAAAAAAAAAAACACCGGAACACTTTTACGATTCTTCATTTTCAAACAAATTATGATTCAACATACCACGATTTTCAATGAAGTTGATAAAAAAACTGAAAAAAAATTCACTTTCAGCTTTAAAAACTTTTTGCAGCAGTTAACCTCGACGATGTTTGTGAGTTGGAACTCATAGTTCCAAACGCCGAATCTTCCGAAGGTACTCTCGGATTGCGAGGACTTCTCGCATTCTCTACTCTCCTACTTTGAGGTGATATTTTGTGTGACCTCAAATTGACCTCTGAAGGGGGCGACGGTAGAGAGGGTGAGACTGTGTTTGACCTGGAAGGGTTGTTCTGCTTCCATCTGGACTCTAGTTCGAGCAGGGCATCACCAGCCGGATCAGTAGACGCTAAAACAATCAAATTAAGAATCAAATATATTGCTAGTGACAATTTCTGCCTGTTTTCCAATTCACAACAGGGAATTACTCGTCTTCGGTGTAAAAAAAAACCTATTTTAACCAATCAGGAAGCATCTTTCAAACTTGCTGAAAAGTTAAACTACAGTTTTAATGCTACTTTCCGAGCATAAAAAACTTAGCAGGAGCATAAACTTTCAGGAGTATAAGTCACGGGCATTGAAAAGGGTTCTTTTGCCCCTGCACCTAGTAAACGTTCGTATTCTGACCCGATTTCAGATCTTAATTGTGGATCTGAAATGGGTTGAGAAATGCTAAAGTAACGCTTCGATGCTGTACGAATGGGTTAATTTTGACCTAGCTTCAGATCTGAAATTTTGTTTTTCATGGTTATTTCACATCTGAAAAAATCTATTTCAAATCCAAATTCACATCTAAAACTTTGTTTCCGATGGTTATTTCTGATCTGAAGATATCAATGATTCTGACACAATTTTTGCTATTTTGGTTAATTCTTTACTTAATAGTTTCTGCTAGCTACCAACAAAAACTTAGCAAAATCTCTAATCGGAGACTGTTATAAAATGTTTCCCCAAGTGATTTTTTCAGATCTGCAATAGCCAATAAAAATAAAATTTCAAGATCTTAAATAACCGATTCTTTAAGAACCCGAGCGTTATTGTAACATTTCACAACCCATTCAGATCTGAAATTTAAATCTGAAAAAGATGATATCAGATCTGAATTACATTTACTCGGTACAGGTACCAAAAGATAAGTGATTTAAAAAAATCGTAAGAAAACCCAGGAAAAAATCAAGTTATACTGTCGCTGAGAATGGAAAAATTCAATGCTTCATTAATATGTTATAATGTGCTACGAAACTTTCCCTAAAAGTACAAAGCTAAGTAATTACCTGCGTTTCTGACAGCCGCGAAAGAATTCATTGATTTTGACCTGAAGCAAAAGGACATCTTTCATCTATTTTCAGAACTCGCATTATTTTCTTGCTTCAAGAAGCAGATTGTCTCGAAAAAAGTTACAGAGCAAACTGCGGATTATTTTGTTGACTTTTCTAATAATCACAAAAATTCTGTCAAGAAAATGTATATTTTTAATTTTAGATTAAAAAATTATAACATTTCCATACAGAACATAGGAAACAGTTAGGTTATAAATAAAACTATGATTTAGTTTAGAAGCTTCTGTGCACAAACGATGCAAAAAATTTGATCAGTATTATATACAACTGACTTCAAATAAAAGCACTTTTTCATTTTGAATCTTTTTCAATACTGACAGCAAATAACTAAACAGAGATAACTTGATCTTACCTCAGGTTAGCGTTGAACCCATTAACAAAATCTGAATTTTCTTCAGCCTTCTTTTCTTCCCAAGGTTCGTTCTCTGGGCTACTTTTCAAACCTGCAAATAACCCGATATAATAACTAAACAATCACTAAAAATAGCTAGGAAACAAAAATTTATAACCACAATAATGAAAAACTGCCAACTTTTTTAACTGATATGCAATAGAAAAGACTTCATATTCACATGGTATTACACGGTATGGAAAAAAATCTCACACAGCTAAGTATGTTTCGCATACAAGATGTATTTCAAACCATTAAGTTGAAACAGCAAAATTAAAAGCAAGCTGCCGCGCTTTTACTTGGCTCAACTTTTCACTTATACCATTTCAAAAGCATATTTATTCACACCAACCAGAAATGAAACTTAGGAAGCACTTTTAACTCATGGTTAAAGTTTTGCAGTAAGTTTTATCTTTCAACTGATCCAAAGAATGGACTGCAAATGTAGATTTGAGTTGGTAAACGCCAGACCATTTCATGAAACAACAACCTTTTTATTCATAAGACTTGCAGACTGCAAACAGAAACAAAGCTTTAAATACACGAAGTTTTGGATTTAAAATGCTCAGATTTGAATATTCTAATTGCAAAAATTATCGATGCAATTGAACGTTTAAAAAGTTCCACTCCAATGGCAGTTTTGTTAACAGTTTGACGCAATTCTTGAATATAGCGAATGGTCCGTGAAAAAAAATTATCTTGAGAGCAAGATAAAAAGAAATGTCTTCCAAAAGTGAAAAAGCAAAACGTGTCTTTTTTTTACACAGAGGCTGAGCGAAGCTTCGCAACACTGCACTACAACACAAACACAGCATTGCGAGCTAGCAGACATAAAATGAGACGAAAGCCACAAATTTCAAACAATTGCGTCGAACGATGTTCAATTACAGGCAAGACAAGAAACTAAAAAAACTTTGAGCTATAAAAATTTTTAACACACAATCCCTTAAAACACAAAAAAAATCTAATTTTGCTTGAGCCAAAAAATATTTCAAAAAAAAATAGTAAAGTTGGTAAACTTACATATTACAGATTGAATTTCATTTAAAATTTAAACAAGTTTGAATCTAAAGAAAGATTTTCACAATATCAAACTCAATCAACTTCAAAGAAACTAAAACCCCGTGAAAACATAGCCAACGAACATTTGAAAAGTGTTCTTGAGCTCGAAAAATAGAAAAAAAAACGAGAATTTTCAACGATGACTAGGGAAAATCTTCATAAAACCAAAAAGTCGAAAAAATGACTACTAATGTAGAACGAATTTTAAAAGATTTTTTTAATGCACTTTTTCAGGTTTTTGTGAAAAATTCACGTTTGTTACTGAAGAACGAGTTTTGCCTTAATTTCAGCAAACTAATTTAAATTGAAATTAATAGAACCCAAAAGTCAAGCTGCGAAAAATCGAAATTGAGCAAGAACAAAACAAAGTCAATATAAGTGTCTTTACTGGGTTCATCGATGCTTAAACGCCAAAAAAATGTTAAATATTAAGTTAAAATTGCTCTGAGATTGAGATATACTTAATCTTTTTCGTTTAAATCAAAAACAGTCACCTTTACTAAAAACAACTACAACAAGCTCATTTTTAAAGGCTCTTAAGATTTTGTAAACCACAGAAGAGACTGATCTGTTGTTTGTTGCGCGTCCGGCATGCTCTCGCCGAGTTCGAGTCACGTTGGGACCTTCTTCGGCCGAAGCCCCAAATCTACTGGGATCAATTTTGTTCTGTTTTGGGGACAACTAAACAAGTGTAGCGCAGTGTGGGGAGCAGGGCATCAGGAGCAGTTAAGAGGGACATTTGGCTCTATCCTATTCATGTAAGTATTAAAGTAGGGGTTGCATCCTTATCTTATTTGGGCGAGGGTGTGCCTAGTCGAGTGAGGAAGGGTCTGTTCAGTTTTCGAAACTTCTGGGGGTTTAAGGGGAGAACTTAAGGCGGGGGGGGGGGGGGGGGGGGTCTTCGTTTATGGCTTTTTGCGCTCGGTTTGTGTGTATATTCTTTATAACTGTTTTAAAACTGCTGTTTATGAACGGTTTCAAGTGGCTAAAATCAGTAAAAATAGTCACACTCGTTTGCTTCAAGTTCCTCTTTAAAAGAGTTTAAGATGTTCACGCGTTACTGACCGAGCGGTTGAAAATGAGTACGGTAGAAATGTAGGGGACTTATTGGCAAGTAGGTCCTGAGGACGAATTGTGAGGCAAGGAATTTGTGGCGATTTTTGACGTTAATTAGTCAGCACTCTGAATGTAGGTGGTCAATGGGGCTAATATTAGTACAACCAGTCACTATCCGCAGAGCCGCATTTTGCACTGTTTGCATTTAAAGTATGGATGTATCGTCCGCGGCGTGAGACCAAGCTATAGCGGCGTAGTCCAGGATTGGTCTGATTTTAGTTTTGTCGGTAATATTTAAAGTCTCTTTCAATTGACCCCAGTTTGAACCAGATAGAGCCTCAGGACCGATATCCTGCGTTTTCTTGCTCCATGGCTTTCCTTGCTGTGCGTTTGCAGTTTTCGGCAAAATTTAGTGAAGGGTCAAAAAGGACATCAAGATTTTGGGGTGCTATACACCGGGCAATATTGTTTCGCACATTGTAACCTGAGGTTCAGAGTTAAACTCTTTATTATGCGACGTATAAAGACTTAAAGAGCCCTTTGTGGAAGAAAGTTAGAGCGATCTGCTTGTAAAAAAAAGTCGCGCAGAAAAGTCGTAAGATAATTACTTAAGGTATCAGAGGCATGTTTTATGTCGCGTTATTGGACGAAGGGGTGTAAATCATCGACATATGTCTGAACTTTGACTTCTGGAGCGAAGTTAGGGCATCGTGCAGGTAAAAATTTGAAAAAAAGTGGGCCAGAGAACCAGTTTAAACCAGACAGCGCCTTCAGGACCGATATCCTGCGACTGCTTGCTCCATGGCTTTGCTTGCTGTGCGTTTGCTTTGCTTGCTGTGCGAAACAAATAGACTTTTTTCGGCTCATTTAATGGATCAAAATTGCATCAACTTTCATAAATTATTGCTCATCAAATGTCAAAGCACATGCTATCAAAAAGCCGTAAAGGTGTCCCAAAAGTAGTACCATTTGTGTGATTAAAGTTGAAGAAAGAACCCTCGCACTATTACACTACTCTATCATGTGTTAACAGTACGGAAAATTAAAGTGGCCATGTTTAAGTTACATCTGTTAATCAGATATGTCTCCTGGTGAAATGATTCAATGATTTTGTTCTATTAGTTGTCTTCCTGAAAAAAAAGTCCTGATTAAAAAGGTCCAATTTTTGTTTGTCAAGTTCTTCTCCGGAAAAGAAATTATTCATTTTTGATTTGATAACACCTACTATTCGCAAGCGCAATGGCAGAAAAAACACTAACTTGTTTGTGACAAATACTGTGATCCACTAAGCGTCTCATTAGGTGGCGTCCCTTTCACTGCTAAATACAACTGCACCAATGCATTAACCACATGCACTCTCAAGGACAAATTAGGGTAGACTAGATCTTCCACAGTTAGTAGCCACGGCTGCACGTTTGAATAGTTCTCAGTGTATAACGGGCTCGAGATGAAATCACAGACTAGTGATAAATTGTGTACACAGTCTGAGAAACTCATCAAATCGCAGAATCTCCCAGCTGAAACAGTTTAGAGAATTAATTAATGGTTGCGTAATTCTCATTGATAGCGTAATGTTCATCAGTTTTCTTTGTCCATATCTTATCAGCTGCTCTCAAATAGTTATTTAAACTTAAGCGTCAAAGATAGCATCAAGGGCAGATATTAGGCAATCATTGACCAAGAAAAAAAAGACGCTGATTTTAGTCCCTTCTCCAGAGATCGCGGCTACTATCAAGAATTTCGCGTTCTTGGAAAATACGAGCCTGTTAATCGCAGCCATTGGAAAACTTCACGCGCTCTCAAGAAATATTTCTTGATCCACGTTACTTTTATTTTGTATAAAGAAATAATTTTCATCAAGTAGCTTAAAAGTGTGAGCCATGTCGGCTCTTCAACCAACCTCATCAACTGAGACATGACCAATTACGCTTGAAATGAAGTACTGGGTCAATTTGCAAGATTTCATAACTACTAGCGTGTAACGCACCTCCGGTGCTTCGAATTTTCAACAACCCCAAAAACTATTGTTTGAGTGTACTCTGACAGCACCCAATTACAGGGTTCGTAATTACAAATTTTGCAAAGTTTTTTATTCAAGTTTTTTATACAAATTTTGAAGAACCATAAAATTTTGTGAAGTTTTAAATAAGTTCTTCAAAAAATTTAAAAATAACTAAGAAACGTCACATCTAGTATAACTGCAAGCATTTGATCAGTCGCATTTGGACGCAAGATTTGCAACTCCTGAGAGTACCCTTAAAGTACCCAACTACAACGTTGGGAAATTCAAATTTTGAGAAATTCCACCTCAAATTTTCTAAAAAAAAAGTATTCACATGTCGAATTCTACCAAAATTTGCGCAGTTTTTTTTTGATGGCAATATTCGCAATCTTTGGAAAAACACAACTACAGAGTTAGGAATTTCACTTAAACGAATTATTTTGTAATATGAGTTTTCTGAAAATTTCCAAACAAATCACAAAAAGCGTCTTATCTCTTTAACAAAAAAGATTTGGGCATTCTTAACTGGAAGCCAAATTTGCAACCCCTGAGATTACTCTGACAGTCCCCCCCCCCCTCCCCCACTACAGGTTAGGAAATAAAAATTAGTTTAGTTTTCATGAAATTTTTTTTTGAAAAAATCACAAAAATCTTCATATCGGAAAAACTACAAGGATTTGGGCAGTCTAATTGGGTGGCAAAACCCGCAACTCCTGAGCGTACCCTGACAAAGCCTCCTTACAGAGATGAAAATTTCAAGTTTTGTGAAATTCTTATACCTAAGTTTTCTGAAAAACTTTGAAAAAAGCAAAAAAAAACGTCATATCTCGAAAACTACACGGATTTGAGCAGCCATAATCAGACGCAAGATTCGCAACTCTTGAGGGTACCCTCACAATATCGAACAATAGGATTGAGATCTTCAACGTTTAGGAAATTTTTAAAATTTAAGTTTGTGAAAATTTTTTGAAAAAATCATGAAAACGTCATATCTCGAAAACTACAAGGATTTGAGAAGTGAGTATTGGAGGCAAGCTTCGCAACCCCTTAGTGTACCCTGACAGCACCCAACTACAGGGTGAGAAACTCAAAAATAGGAAAATTTTTAAATTAAATTTTCTAGAAACTTTTGAAAAACCTCGAAAATTGCCTATCTCGTAAACTGAAAGGATTTGGTTATTCATATATGGAGGCCAGAATCGCAAAATCTGGGAAAACTCTATCAATATCCTACTATTGGGTTGCTAATTTCACATTTGATGAAATAAACACTGAATTTAATTAGGAAAATCGGAAAAAAACCTCAACCATTGCAATATACGATATAGCTTAAACGTGAAAAAATTCTGTTGTTAAACATGCAAAAATAATACGTTGAAAAAGCTTAAACATGGTGAGATAGTGAAGCCCGCATTTAAATATATAATAGATAGATAGATAATAGATGAAAAATAAAAAAAATTAGGCGACGGTTAGACAGACAATCAAATTAATTAAAAAAGCAGGTATACAGACAGACAGACAGACTTAATTTGGCCTCGAAAAAAAATACTGAAATATTAAAGACTTTGCGGAAAACTAATTGAAAACTTTTTAAGCATTGCAATATATGATATATCTTAAACATGCAAAAATTCTTTCAAAAAACATGCAAAATTATTATGCTTAAACATGGGAGATAGCTGTCACTCGCATTTAAATATAGTATAGATAGATATAGATATCGATGGATAGATAGATATAGATTACACAGAGGCGAAGAACACGACTAAAAAGCAGCTCTATCAAGTGACCTAAGAAAAAAGTAGCAATAAGCCTCGAGTTTGCAAAAAATCTAGGCTTAGCAAAAACTCGAATTAGCAAAAATCTGCGATCTAGCAAATTTGAGTCTCACGCACTAACCATTCAGCCAAAAAAACTAGCCATCAAAAACTAGCCATCAGCAGCTACATATGCTAATTAAGTGCCAATTCGATGCAGCAAAATTAATACCAAAAACAAAAGATACAATTTTTCATGAAATAAATTGCAAATCATAAAGCCACATAAAAAATTATGCACAAATTAAGCATTTCAAAAAATTGCGAGATAGATTGAGTTAGAAAATTTCTGGGTGATATATTAAAATAGGTGGTAATTTTGAGTGTAGTACATGTATTAAAATTGAGAACTATAATGCATCATATAGTCATTTCATTTTTCATCAATTATACTACTACTACTAAGATAGTTTTTTAAATACAATATTCTGCCATATGAAATGCTATTATTTACACTTCAGTTTTACACTTCTTTTTTTTTTGCGTCAAAATAATGTGATTCGACTTCGGCCCTCACTTCCAACGAAAATCAAGTGGCAGAAATCATTTGCCATTAATTAGCCATTGGAACCTAGGCAATCAAAAATGATTACCATTCTAGTCACATTTAAAAACTAAATATAAACAAACTAGGCAAACAAAAATACATTATCAGTCATATAGTGAAAACCAAGAGGTCCGTAATCGCAAACAGCACAAGCCAAAAACTATTGCTCCTGATGGCAGACACTAAAGTGGTATATTGTCTATATGGTTACGCTGATGGGTCGCCTCCAATTGATAATTCCATTCGACCTGCCGTTATTTGTCCACCTCTCGACAGCATTGCCTACGCGTTCGACCGCATTAATAGGCAGCTGAGCCGAGTGTAAATGGCGTTCTTCATCTCCGGCGTGCTGGTTGCTGTTTGCATGGCCACACGAGATGCAAGGCGGTCTAGGAATGCGATGGCCTCGCTTCCCCACTCGCCATAGCAAGTGACTACCATAGGAAGGCACTCCCAGCCAAGTTCCCGGCACTTCGCGTCGTTATTGCCGTGCTTTCTTGATGCCGCGGCCGCTGCTGCTGAACCCCTAATAGCGATCGCTCCGTCAATGTTGGTGTCGTTGAGCGGATTCACAACTGTGATGTCCAGGGCTGCATCCTTCCCGAGATTCCACGTTGGCACGAGCACGTCTGCAGGGCGCGTTTGATCGCGAAACCCTGCTCCCGCTTCTAGAATGGGATTCAGTTGTGCTCTGCGACAGTAGTCGGCAATAGAGTTGCGCAGGCCATTGTGTCGTCTGCAAACATCTGGGCCCCGTTTACATGTTAAGGCGTGCTGGGCAAACTGGTCAAGTGTCTCGTTTGGGCAAAGAGGGCACGTTGAGTTAGATGGAAAAATTTCCAGTCCTAGCCGCCATTTGGTGAGAACATTAAACTCGTTGGGTGATAAGCCTAAGCCTAGCGCTTCTGAGGGCTGCGCGCGGATCCAGTCTCCATTGTGAGGTTCAGTCAAGGATGTTAACTTCACTTTTTCAGCAAGCGTGCACGTTTCTTCTAATTCGTGGAAACTGTGCTCGTCAATCAAGTCGGATAACGGTTTCTGGCGAATGAGCTCTGAAGTCGAACTGAGGGGTTCATGGTCTCCTATTCTGCTGTTGAAAATTTCAAGTGCGCTTTCCAGTTTCTGAGCGTCAAATGCGGCACCCATTGAGAATTTGTGTGAGGCTATGAATGCAGGGCTGCAGTGGTTTTCAAGCGACCGCAGGCCGAATCCTCCGAATCGTATCGGTAGTTGTGCTTGTGTCCATGCTCGATCCGTTGCGTTTATGACCACGCTCTCTTCGAAACATTTCCTGACACTTCTTTTGGAAAAAAATGGCTTTTGAAATAAATCTAAATAATGTGCGAAGTATAACAAAAAGCGATCGAGCTATTCAAATTAAACCTACCACTTATTGTAATATATCACCAATTTCTGAAATCGAGTTTTTATTATTGTTATGTTTTTTGAAACAAATAGCTTTTTCGGTTCACTTGTTATATTAAAAATGCATCAATTGCGTAAACTTATAAATATTCGAATGTCAAAGCACATTTTATCAATAAGCTGTGAAGGTTCAACAAATTGCCAACTCGATGCAGCAAAATTTGTTGCTTTAAGTCGCATCAATATTTGCGTCCTAGGTTGGAAAACAAAGAAAATTCGTACTATAACACTTTGCTTCGCAAGTGTAAATAATCGGACAGGTGCCGAAGTCGAATTCGCTGGTGGGAGGGGACTGTAATAGTGTCATTTATTTAGCAACTCACCACTGAGAGGGACCACATTCGGGAAGTAAAAACAAATCACAGCTAGCAAACTTTGACCATCCGATATCCCATGGACTACGTCATCAATCAAAGCCACCCCTCCCCTTCCAGCACCTTCATCTCCAGTTGTCAGTTCGTCTAATTCATCAAATTCACTCCAGTGTTTCTCAAGATACTCATTCACACCTGTGGCTGATTCGTTCAGCCAGTGGAGAATTGTAAAATCGACTTGCTGCCAGGGTAATAGCAAATGGCAATTCGAAAGAACCTGGAATCTGAAATGAAAATTTTCATAATAAAAGATTGTTCTAAAAACTTTTCAGCCTCTCGAAAAAATAATCTCGTCGAGACAAAACTGCACATCGATGCATTTAATCTTTACCTGGACGCTGATATCTTTTCACATGTTAGGCTGATTCGAATATCCAGTCCCATCAGAGATTCAATCAACACACAATGTGAGGTCTGAAATTGACAATGCAGCATAGTGAATGAGAACAAAAAAAAACAGTTAAAACAATCAAATGTCCATTATACTCAAATTTAATGAGAATACCTGATCTAATGGCACGTGCGTAAGCGATTGGACATTAAAGTTTGCCTGTAGCGATACGCCTCGGTTGATTAGGAATCGACATAGACCTTGAAAACCACTCTGATTCCAATGAGACGGCGACAGACCGAACAGAGATTCACACGCCGCACCGTATATTTGACCACTCACAAACGCATGGCTGAATTCATCAGTGAAAACACAAGGCAGAGAAGAGCCTTCCTGTAATCATAATTAAGCTAGGTATATTTTGAAGGCTACTTGAGCGTACTTTCATATTGAACGAAACCACCACGCATTACTGGGTCAAGCTAATTTCATTCTTCAACTTTTTTCACCCAGTAGTTATCTTGATGCACTTAGAAGAACTGATAGGCGTTCAAAACTTACTTCTATGTATATGATGAATTCATTCAACTCATCTGTTAGGTGACTGAAACACGCATCTGCATCTAATTTTCCAAAAAGCCAAGTGAAAGCCAATGCAGAACGCCTGCATGCCTCATTGTAGCGCGATCTTCTCGAAACAGTTTGCTTTCCTTGCTTGTTACTTTTGCTGTTCACATTCATCACATAGATGTAAAAACATTTGCATGGCCTGAAAACACGCAGAAGAGATGGGTGAAGGTGTGCCATTCTGCCAGATGACACAGCACAACCTTCCCGCGACAGAAAAAAAAGTGACTAAAGGCCTTATGAACAAAAAAGTGTTGCGACGGAGGGTCAGAATGTTCTAGAATTTTTTTTTTTTTAATTTCGATCGGAAGAAATAGAAAAAAGACGGCCATTTTGAATGAAAAGACGAAAATCAGAACCACGATAGAGATTGTGAAGAACAGTCGTGCAAGAAAATTACGAAGCCTCTTATCGTGGCAATAACACACGATAAGAACCTTAGCGACGGATATTTGTGGAGACGGAGGCTTCAGTGGGGGGAAGAGAAATACCACGGAACCCTCCCGGGACACGAAATATAGGAGATAAGAGTGTTATCTCAAGAAAATCACGGGAGCGGAGGCTTGGTCCCCCAGAGACTGTTATATGTGAAGGGACGGGGTAAACTAACTTCAACAGTTGCTGTAATGTCCTAGATCTTAATTAACACCGTTATTATTTAATATTTCAGAGCATGAGTAGATAGAAAAAGGGAAAGGGTCAATCCATCTCCAATGGATTTAATATAGAACTGTCACACAAAAACATATAAAAATAGGTTGTTCGAGCCGTGTTTTTAATGACAATCACGTAGTCTGAGGATCCGAGACTCAGCTATGTGGTTGTGTTCGCATGTAAAACGTAAAACCAAACAAAAATAGTGTATAACCAAGAAAAAGCCAAAAATAAATTTATTTAAAAACAAAAAAAGTACAAAAAACAGTAAAAAATCCAAAAAAGACCAAAAACAGTAAAAAACATAAAGTGACAGTTTATATGTTATTTCCGGACGAGATGTGATCTGACCTTCCTATTTGTTGTTGTTTCAGATTGATTTATATCGTTTCTGATAGAAAGATTGTGTGTTTTGGTGAAGGGTTGGGTACCCTCCCTCGAGTGTAATTTGAGTGTTTAAGCACGTTAATGGTGATTTTGCCGGTGACCGGAGGGTAGAGTGGCAGGCTGATCAACGTGTTCCACACTCAACAGGCACATCAAGGACAACATCCGCAACGACTGTTGGGTATCGTTGAAGCAATTTTAGTATCGTTCGGGTACTATTTCCTTACAACTTAAGTGGTGGGGGGCACGATTGGCGCGGTCCGATTGTACCCTCCATCGATTACAAATTTCCGAGTTAAGGGTCTTAATTCGGATATTTTGGTGCAAAGGAGGGTATAGTACTATTCATTAACGACTATTAATAGATTATTATCCTTATTATATATTACTTATCTCCTATTTAGACCCAAGAAACACCCATTTTTTGTCGAAAATTACCAATTTTTGACAAAACTGTAGAACCCCAAATTTTCGGATATCCGAGCTTTTCCGATAGGCAAAAAGCTTTTATATAGAGAGTAACTACGTAGTTCGATCCCCTTCACTAAAGAAACCGCGTGAGCAAAGACTCAGGAGAAGTTAGAAAAACGAAAATTTTTCGATCAAAATTTTGATAATTTTCTGTATTTTGTCAATCTGTTTTGGGGATCGAGTTTTTGAGTTTTTAGAGTTAGAGCAATAAAATTTTTTGCGTTAGGAGCGTGCTAGCATAACGTGCTCGGTTACTAGAGAAATTTTTGGGCAACCCTCCGAGTAGCTCCGTGGATAGAGCTAACGACTTAAGGTTTGGAAAAGGAAGGAATCGGAGGGTCCAAATTTGATAGTTTTTGGCCAAATTTTTGTTTCTAAACCAATTTTGGTCCGGTTTTTTGTATTATTCCAGTGCCGTACAGGGCTGCTACGCTCATTTCAAGTAGTTTTAGGCACTTTCGACCGGAATTGCGGAAAAAGTCTTTCAGAACCTATATAGGTGGTAAAAAAAGGCCATTTTGTTGAACGCGTTTTTGGCGATTTCTCAAAGACTAGTGATCCGATCGGGATAATTTTGGTACCATAAGTCGACGTTTTTGACCACTTTTCCGAATCGCAACCGTTTTTTGGTTGATTATTTCGGAAAAGAAAAATTTTTTTAGAATTTGTTGGTTCGGAGGGTCCAAATCACGGGCAACCCTCCGAGCGGCAGAAAATTTTATCAAAACATCTTTTTATTCAACTGGGAAGGTTGACCGTGTCAGCCAACCTAGCTTTAAGTCAGGTAGACCGCTTTCAGAGGCTTTACTGCGGTGATATTACCCTTTTTTTTGATTTTGGGGGAACCCTCCGAAGTGACCCTCCGGAGTCAGCTAAACCCTTTAGCAACCCTCCTTAGTGGAAAATTTCCACGAGATCACCCTAAGAAGTTATAACAGCTCCCCTTAGAGATCTTACCTTGTTTTGACGCTTTTTGAAGGTAGTAGGAGAACCTTCTAAGCGAGATCAAAAAATTTGAAAATTTTGGAGGTACCCTCCGAAGTAACCCTCCGGAGCATATTAAGCATCTTATTGACCCTCCTTAGTAAATTTAGGGGGACCCTCCGAAGTAACTTGGGTGATTAAGGTACCCTCCGAAGTAACTTGGGTGATCAAGGTACCCTCCGAGGTAACCCTCCGGAGTGTCTTAAACCTTCTAACGATCTTCCTTGTTAGAGACTTGAGTAAAATTTCTGTGGCAATTTGGGAAACGGAAAATATCCATTTAATTAAGATCATATTAGGATATTAGGCGTGCTTATCAGGATCATAAGAACCCATTCTGACCCGGAAATTTGTGATCAACTTTGGATTCTACATTGGGTGTATCAGAAGTACCCGAACAAAGAAATTTTTTTTGATTGTGATTTTGGTTGTGTGGTTGCCTTGAGCTACTTAATAGGAAAGTTCGGGCAATCCGGGAACAAATAAAAGAAGACCTCGGTGAGTGTATTAGGCAAATACACACTCACTTGAGAAGAAAAGTTGTTCCCTGCTCTCGTGCACTTGGAGCGTTCCGGGTGTGGGGGAGCTTTTTCATAGACTTTAGAAATTTTCGATCAGAGGTTGCCTTGAGCTACTTGGTAGGACAGCTCGGGCAATCGCAGGACACCTAAAAGAAGACCTCGGTGGGTGTAATAGGCAGACACACACCCACTTGAGAAGACTGTGTCCTGGGCTTCGTTCTTTCGGATCGTTCCGATTGGGGGAAGTCTTTTTCTTTAAGACTAAGTTTTAATTATCTATTTCTGAATCATCACTGCTTTTTATCAAAGATTGTTTAATTTTAACAAAGCAGTGACTTGATAAATTGTGTGGCAATAAATTGATACTGACAAAAGGTCGCTGTCACCTGTAGGATATTCTTATCTGATTATCGATTGTGTTTTGTGTGTCGATTATATCTTGTGGAAACTTAGTGATACTGTTATACTATACAACCGGGTTGAGTTTGCATTATATCAATACTGGGTAGACCCTGTGTGTAACTTTAGCTGAGTCACTAATTTAGTCGTGAGAGATCTAAGAGACATTTTGATACTGACGGAATCGAGTAGGCAGCGTTAAGTGATTTAACTAAATCTTGTTTGTGGTACGTTTGCATTGCCATCGAATTACGAATACTTTCATTTTGTTAAAAACTATGCAGCGCAGGGACTCGCTAGGATCGACTACTAAAATTCCCAAGCTAAGCAAGGGAAGCACGCGGAAGTTTAGAACTAGGCGTAGCCAAACCTCGTTTAGCAGCGCTTCCGACGCGTTTGCTGAAGACGAATCGACTAAAGGTCAACCTGATCTTTCAGTGAGCGAAATGAAACTAAGGAGCGAGAAAAACCTCGATGGCAATCAAAGGCGGAGCGCCGAGGCCGAGCCTGCGAGCGAAACGCTGGTGGATCCCTTTGACGAAGGGGAGCGAACGCTCATTCGACCCGACTTTGAGCCAGACGAGGTCCTCGAACGGGAGGAAGCCGAGAGGACAGAGGAGACCTCGGAGCGTCCCGAGGTCGAACCTCGGGAGGAAGTGTTGTACAGGGGAATGTCCAAATCGGAGACCAAGAGTCACAGGTGGAGGGGAGAATACTCACATTCGGCTAGTACCCACTCATCTCTGGCCAAGCAGAGCAACAACGCGATGATGTCGAGTATAAGCCCGAGTGGAGAACAAACGGGTTCGAAGGCCAAGAAGATTTGGAAGTCCTTGTACGACGAACGCATGGCGTCACTACCAACTGTAGGTTTGACTTCCAGTGATGACTACCCGGAGATAACCCATCCGGATGTGAACTTCACACCGTGCCCAAGGAATGATATGAGCAGGAAGGCGTCATCAACCTCGCCGACCAGGCCCATGTCAGATGGGATAACGATGGGAGCGTCGTCAATCTTCGACAGATTAATGACGTCGATGAGCAAGCAAAGAGGCGGTGCGTCATCAAGCACCAGGCTGCAGCCGCCGTTGACCTCATCTTCTATGGGACTAACCCCGTCAATTGGGGCCACTGGCGACATAAGTGACATGTTCGCTGGCGTAATGAATGGTCTGGAGGAACTGAGACGGGACATGACTAAAAGAATAGATCAGGTGGATGAGAGAGCTCACAAGGGTCAAGAGAATCTGAGAGATGAACTAACGCACGTGAAATCGCAGGCGAGGAATGATCTAGCTCAGTTGATTCGCAACACCGATCAATGCCTGGCGGAGAGCCTGGCACAGGCAAACAAAGAGTCAGAGGAAAGAGAGGCTAGGATGACAAGAGAGATCGAGCGGTTATTGAATGATCATGATAATACCTACGCCCAAACGATGACTGGCCTGGAGAAGAGGTTGGACGCCAAATCTGACTTGATGATGCGGAAGCTTGACGCGATCCTGAATGGGAGAAGTTGGCAGGAGCATTCCAACTCAAGGGAGCGCTCACAGTGCCAGAACCCAGCAAGGCTCGAGAACGAACTACGAACATAGAAACAAGGAGCGGCCAAGGGCAGCCCCGCAGAGGCCTGGCTGGATGAATCCAGTCCCGCCGGAGGCAGATGCCACCCCGGAGACAAGATTGCCAACCGTGCCACAAGTCAGTTCAGTACCAGAT